GCCAGCCAAGTCTGGTGCTGCATGTCATCCAGCACACCTGGAATGATGAGCAGTGGCTGGAGTCCTTTCAGATGACCCTGGCCACCTTCCAGGAGCTCCTCGATCAGCTCCACCCACACCTAGAAAGGCAGGCCATCACCATGCAGCTGCTCCTCCCTGCAGAGATCCAGCTGGCTATTGCTCTGCTCAAGCTGGCCACACCTGCCAGCCTGTGCTACATCAGCCATTTTTTCAACATGGGCAAGGCAGCCACCAGGAAGGCTGCCCTGGAGGTCTGTGGCACCCTCCAGGATGTGCTGGGGCACACCTTGCTCTGGGTACATGACCCCCTGGAGGTGGTGGTGGGGTTCCCAGTGCACTGGGGCCCTGGGCGGGACCCATACCCCTGTCAGCTGCCTGCCCTGCACCAACTGCCCTTACTACAAGTGGCAGGGCTTCCATTCAGTCAAGCTGCGGGCCATTGTTGACCACCATGGCACCTTCACCAATGTGAGCACTGGCTCAGCTGGCAATGCCCACAATGTCCACATCTTGCAGAACTCCACCCTCCCAGCCTTGGTGGAGAACAGACACTACATACCACAGGTGCTGGACCTCCAGCTGGGCAAGGTGACGGCCCTGCCAGTCCTCATTGGCGACCCCACCTATCTAGTCCTCCCCTGGCTCATGTAGCACTACACCAGCCAGCTGGACCCCCTCCAGACACATTTCAACAGGTGCCTAGACCAGACATGAGCTGGTGGAGTGTGCCTTTGGCCACCTTAAAGGATGCTAGTGCACCCTCACTGCCTGCCTCGTGGTCTTGGAAGCCAGCATCCTTCAGGTCATCCTTGCAGCCTGTGTGCTGCTTAACATCTGTGAGACCCGGGCGGAGCTCTTTCACGAGGCTTAGGCAGCACAGTGGGCAGAGGACACCTGACACGAGGAGTACCAGTGGCAGTGACAGGCCCCCACCACCAAGGTTCCAAGTGAGCCACAGGCATACCCAGCAGCGGTGACCAGGGTAACAGCTGTGAGAGGTGCTGGCAGACCACCTGCTCCTGTACTCCCTGCTGCAGGCCACCTGGATGGCCAGCCACGGATCCAAGCCTCACTGCACACCCCCAGCACCATGCTTACTGTGGATAGTTTTCTGGAAAGCACTTTATTCTCTCCATCTGCAGGGGTGCCTTTGCCCTGCAGGCCACTCCTAGCTCAGGGGGCACAGATTGCTCAGTTAAGTTTTGCACTGCCTCCTACTTTCTTGCATGCTGTGGGGGGAAACTCCAGGGACCAGGAGAAGCTAGGGCAAGGCAGACAGGGAGGGGAGGCGTGGCAGGAATGCCTGGTGGCCTAAATCTGTCCCCACTGGCAGCAGTGTCATGTAGCTCCTGACAGTGTCCTGGGGTGCCTGGGTGGCTAGGCAGGGGCCCCCTCTGGGGAGGACCTGGAGCTCACGAGGGCAGGTGGTGCCATCCCTGGGCTGGCCTCCCGGGTGGGGCTGCATACCTGGAGTTGGTGGGGCAGGTGCTGGCCCAGGGTGCCAG